TATACAACAGGGTATTATATATCATTGCTTCAAGATCAACAAAAGCGTATAAAGCTTATTGTATACTTAATATACCGAGTACAGATACGTGTATTGCTTCATGATCAATATAATGAAGTATAAATCCATGTCATTCTTTAAGATAATTATACTGATTTTTGTATACCCATGATAATTTCGTCATGATAAAACATAATTTCTAAGAATGCATCGTTTTACGGCGTTGACAAAACATACCAACTTGATTCTGCCATTATGATGCTTAACCAACCAGTCACGAGGGATACTGTACTGTGGATGGTAGGTTTATGCAAGAAACCGCCAAGAGTTACGTCCCTTTAGTTGAAAGCCCTGTGTAAATATATAATAAACTCTGGTTCTGACAAACACGTGGTTGATATATGGGTCACGCCTATGCAATGATGGGTTCGAAGAGTCACAATCCACTAATTTAAAGAGCCTTATCGGCCAGTCGATCCATTTTAGTTCCTCTTACTTCCAGTGTGGTATCCAGGAAATGTTGGTCACATAAGAATACATATATGCCAGTGTCTGAATCACAGTACTAGTGATTCCGTGGCATTCGATTGGCCAAATGTTGTGTCTGCAGTGGCCAGCTTAGAGTAAGTATACTGTATTATTTAGGACTCCGTCCGTGCAAATTCGTCTTTTCCGCAGCAGAACATAGAAACCGTTCAATATTTCTTCACCAAACTTCGCACATACAGTACAACCAGAAATTATTGAGAATTTAAAGATTGTAATTTTTTATTTTTTTTCACTCATTACTCACGTATTAAATGTGAATATTAGCAGGACGTAACTCCAGATTCAAAGACAGGTGAACAGTTAGTATTTTGTCAAGTCACCATGGGCAGCAATGCAGGCTTCAATGCGGCGGGGCATACTACTGATCAAAGAAGTTGGAAAGTCGTGGTCCATGCTGTCCCAATATCGGACCACCTCTTCTTTCATTTCAGCAATATTTGTCAGATTTTTCTTATTGACACTTTCCTTCATAAGTCCCCAAACATTTGCTATTGGATTTAGGTCAGGGCTGTAGCTTGGCCAATCTAATAATGTCATATTTTGGGTCCGAAACCAGGCCTGTGAATGCTTTGAACGATGTTCCTGCTGGAAAATCCAAAATTTCCATATATAGTTTGCGTTTCCATGGCAACAAATTTGACTTCGACTGAAATTGGCGGTAGTGCTCCTTTCCGGAGCAGAACTTTAAAACCTTTCAATAGTCCCCTTCTTGGGATTTCAAGAACTTAATGACATAAATCAACAGCATTACTGAGGTACATCAAACCGTGGAAGCACCCAGGCAGTCTATTGTTGATACAAGCATGCTAGTATATGAGTAGTTTACATATGTATGTTTTCGTTAGATCAATGTGAAAAACAATGTAACATTTGACATAGTCATAACTAGTTGACATATTCATGAATCTTGAGTATTTTACCATTGCGGCGAATATTGACGACTTTGTCTTCTTGCTACTTTGTTGTGTTGAATTAGCAGTCCACCAGGTTAGTGCTGTTGACGTGGATGTACAGTGTAAACACCGGTTTTACTCTATACCTCGTAAAGGCGGCGACAAGCCGAGTCAGTGCTGGGATGTCAGGTAAAAAACTTCAGAACGGTCGATGTACTGTCCTTTTTAATACATACGAGAGACATGTGGGGTACGCTCGTATGTTACCTTCACAAAAATGGAGACTTCCTACAAGCTCTAAGAACCACAAAGAGAACTTAATCAACATTGTGTTGAATGTAGGAAAGTTTGTGAATGATATAGTTAACAATGCTATAAGTAAATCATTGCAGCGTGATAGTAAGTCAGGCACATGTGAGGAAATGAAAAATGATTTACAATTAGTGCAAGATTATTGCACTAATCCAGTAACCTGCATGCACGTATGTGTATATGTCCTGACAAATGTCTGTTTTATAATACGTGCAAGCCTGCAGAATGATGAGAGATACCTCAGAAAGACCGCAGTTGAACTTGACTCGAGTCCACCAGGCCACGCATAGCATACTGACTCCGAGCTGACCAATCCAGACACAGCATACTGATCCAGAGCCAGCCAGGCAACGCATAGCATACTGACTCCGAGCTGACCAATCCAGACACAGCATACTGATCCCGAGCCAGCCAGGCCACGCATAGCATACTGACTCCGAGCTGACCAATCCAGACACAGCATACTGATCCCGAGCCAGCCAGGCCAGACATAGCACTACTGACTCCAAGCTGACCAATCCAGAGACAGCATACTGACTTCTAGCCAACCAGTCCAGACACAGCATACCGACTCCGCGAGGTCCGAGCTCTACACACAGGATACTGACTCTTGAGCCAACCAGGCCAGACACATCATACTGACTCCAAGACAACCAGGCTAGAAACATTTTATGAGCTCCTCAATACTGGATTCAGTGACATTAAATATGTCTAGTCCAGACACAGCAGATTAAGCCTGATCCGACCAGTCCAGACACAGATTACTGACACTATTTTTGGCAGTGGTAGCATACCAGATGTAATACCACAGTGAATCATCTAGTCGTGTTATGCTTTTAGGGAAAGCCCACATGTATGAGTTGCCTGATACAGGACTCGGAGAGTTTTGGTTTGAGAGAGTGAGATGGGGTTTACGTAGCCTTTAGCAATAGTCCAGCAATATCACAGCAGTGTACACCAGAAATGGCCTTCACACAATGTGAAGCCATGATGAGCGAACGCTTCAACCACTGAGCTACCCCACCGCCCCTTTGGTTTGAGTAAAATTCAGCCTCAGTGAAATGGATTTCAAATATTTTATCCATGGTGGATGAATTCAAAGTATTTTCAGCCGGACCAATCACCAAGCAACACCAGCTCAATTGCAGGAACTAACTTGTGACACTGACATAATCATAAATAAATACAAGTGTTTGCCACTGATATGGAAATGTCCCCCGCCGCTAAAGAATGGAATATCTATTTTTACTATTTTTTATTTTTTGGTCACATACAAGATGCCTGAAATGACTGGTGTCTGAATAATCACCCAATGTAGGCTGTCAACATACTTGAAAACATTGGGTGCAATGTTTTATGAGATATCACGTTATCAACAGTTTGAAAAGTGGTCAAAGTGTCCTGGTGACCATGAAGATAGGGTCAAGGTCACCCAAATCAACTGGTGTCTGCGTAATCCCCCAATGTAGGCTGTCACTAAATTTGAAGACTTTGGGTACAACAGTTCATGAGATATGGCGTTAACAAGAATCGGGACGTACGTATACGGACGGACGGACACCGCTGAATACATAGTCCCCCGTTCCGCGTTGCGGCAGGGGACAAAAACCATTGGGACAACTTGTGTAGAAGGTTTTATTGAATTTGTTAGTCAGCCAAAATAAACAACAAAAATAACATTGTCACTATCCCCTGCCATGGGGCAGATTAGAATTACGTTTGTTCATGAAAAATATGGAGTCAAATAAAGCCTCACAAACTTCTTTCGTTTTATAAAAAAAATGTAAAAAGAATCTGGTATATTTATACATGCTGTAAACACATGGGATGTTCAGCTTCAACTTCACAGGTTTGCTATCCATACATTCTTCCATGACCCTTGAATACATACAACTTATTTGCTGTGTTGACACCACTTAAATCAACCAAACAAAACACGGCCTGGTTTCATCAACAGGAAATCCAGACAGACCAATAGTGATCAGATTGTGCTGCATAAGCTGCAATATTCTCAGGCAACATGTGACTTACACAACATCAATATCTGCCAAACTAGGGTTTACTCAAGTTCATTCAAGGAGTAGGTTCATTTGACATCAACAAGTTGACATGCCTATTGTTGATATGCCTAGTTGACGATTATCCGACATACCATTTTACACAGGGAAGCAGTTATATATATTCACTACTGGCCAGGAATGTTGAGTATACACTAGGGCTGCAATGAATCCACTATGAGTCGAATATGATTCACATCATGAATATTGGGTAACATGTACATTAACAAGTCAGCAGTGGGGTGAGTGAGTGAGTTCAGTTTTACACTGCAGTTGGCAATATTCCAGCTATATGGTGGCAGGCTGCGACAAAGAAGTGATCAATATCAAGAGCATCAATCTATGCAAATGGGATACGATATGTGTCAACCAAGTCAGCGAGCCTGACTACCACATAACGTTCAAATTAAAGATATCAGAGTGTTGTCTGTTATCCTGCGTAACTTGGATATATTCCATTTTGCATATCTCACTTAAATAAATAACAACGAAATTCAAGGGTGAAGTGGGTGAAATATGGTTTAACGTCATACTTAAGACTATTTCGCTTATATGACGACAGGCATGCCTGTGTATGTGTGGATGCTTGTACTAGCCCAGACTTAAGCTGGTTTTATAGTGCTAGCTCACTGAGATACCATGCCACAGTTAAGCATGAATACCCCACTCAGACACATTATACTGACTCCGAGCCGACCAGTCCTTGTTGTACCCATTACAAGGCAGGGACCAACAAGTACCATATTTTAACGTCTGGCGAAGTTCTAGGGAGTATTTTGAAAAATTTATAAGTGTTCCATTCCAGTGATTGTGAATGACGAATAGAGTTCATGATGGATATGGTTCAATTCAGCAAATACACAAGTGAATCATACCAGCCCTAGTATACGCCTATGAGGTACAGAGTATGCTTCACATAGTGAAGTAATACTAACATAACGCATATAATATCACACGACTAGGACTGGCTATCGATATCGATCATTGAGATCGATAACCATTGACTAAATATCGACTGAATTTCGATGAATATTGGGAAAGTTACTTTGAACAAAAATGCCAAAAAAGCTTAAAGAAATCAATATATTTCACATCACTGGTGAGTGGTGTCATATTTATGTACAGACTACAGACAAGACAGGGTCCTGAACATAATTTAGAAGCAGCTATGAATAAAGGCCTTATTTTATGTATTGTGGGACAAAATTAAAACTTTATTTCATCACAAAATTTATGTACAATATTAATGATGACACAATTATCACATCGATAATTTTTCCAATTGACGATATTTCCAATTATCAATCTTTTTAGCCAGCCCTAACTACTACCACTCTACTGCTTAAAACTGCACTAAAACACTGACAATTCACACACGCAAAGGGAAGTTATTATAATATGCTAAAGAATTCTGATTATTTCCAGTTTCCTTTAATTCTGTATATTACCAAATATGATCTGTATACACTACAAAGCTCAGTATTCTGAAGTAAACTCCAGTAATTTATGTGAGAAAAATGCAAACAGAAAACACCATAAAAAAGGCTTAATAATAATAATATTAATATTGTATGTTCAAAGAACTGAGTCTTATCCCACATTAACAAACAAAACAAAGTATTTAAGCACTGAGAATGTTATACATGCAAAACTATACCACTGATGTGCAAACAGTTTAAATACATGCAAACTGTTCTGAAAATAGTTGCCTTGTGCAATACCAACCAACAGTCTTTAAATAACTCATATATTGACAATGGAGAAATCAAAGAAAACATACACACAAAACATCCCCTTTTCTCAGCTCATGCTGAGTTACACACACAACTAAAAAGGGTCATTTTGATTATGCCATTGTGAACACCATTCCTGCCAGCTCACAGCAGATTGCAAATACTCATGTACCTGCAAAACCGTCCCTGAAAGCGTGAGCTCCAGTCAACACCATCACGGTACCTTGACAACCAATGGTGCCGAGTGTGAGCTCCAATCAACACCATCACGGTACCTTGACAACCAATGGTGCCGAGTGTGAGCTCCAGTCAACACCATCACGGTACCTTGACAACCAATGGTGCCGAGTGTGAGCTCCAGTCAACACCATCACGGTACCTTGACAACCAATGGTGCCGAGTGTGAGCTCCAGTCAACACCATCACGGTACCTTGACAACCAATGGTGCCGAGTGTGAGCTCCAGTCAACACCATCACGGTACCTTGACAACCAATGGTGCCGAAAGTGTGAGCTCAATCAACACCATCACGTACCTTGACAACCAATGGTGCCGAGTGTGAGCTCCAGTCAACACCATCACGGTACCTTGACAACCAATGGTGCCGAGTGTGAGCTCCAGTCAACACCATCACGGTACCTTGACAACCAATGGTGCCGAGTGTGAGCTCCAGTCAACACCATCACGGTACCTTGACAACCAATGATGCCGAGTGTGAGCTCCAGTCAACACCATCACAGTACCTTGACAACCAATGGTGCCGAGTGTGAGCTCCAGTCAACACCATCACGGTACCTTGACAACCAATGGTGCCGTGTGTGTGTGTGTGTGTGTGTGTGTGTGTGTGTGTGTGTGTGTGTGTGTGTGTGTGTGTGTGTGTGTGTGTGTGTGTGTGTGTGTGTGTGTGTGTGTGTGTGTGTGTGTGTGTGTGTGTGTGTGTGTGTGTGTGTGTGTGAGTGATATGTTGTTTTATGCCTCAGTGATATTCCAGCAACTCCAAGGCAACCTGTGACTGAACCAGTCAGACAAAGCCGCCATGAAATGAGCCAAAGCCAAACTTATCAGAGTAGGAGTATGACTCACAGTAAGATAACACTGCAAACTACTAGTCCCCATTGACGATGAGATTTGTTAGTAGCACTCACTCAGCTATGCAGGGTCTGGGTCAGACACCCCAGTGATTGGTATAATGAGCAACAAGTGCTGTCAGGTTACAATGACATTGTCACAACCTATCAATTAAGATGTCTCTTACCACCAGGGAAACTCTTCTAACCAAAATCCTCATGGAGAAGTATGACAATAATTACGTACAGGTATGTTCTGCCCTTAGCTCTCCAGACTTACAAGACCATCTGGAACACAGGCAATCATCAGATTCTTAGCCTGAAGAGTTTCCATCCTGTTATAGGCTGGAAACAGTGCTAAGATTGTTTAGGCAACTGGGCCTTGGGTGTGTTAAAGGGAAGTTTACCACCCACCAAAATAATATACTTCTTAATCTCCCACCTAAAGCATGCCAACCAAACCTAGTTAACACACAAACATTCACCTGAACTGTCCAACCACCATATCACCTTCACAAACAAAATGGAATCTAAATTATATAGCACTTGTCACCATTCATAAATTACACTCACTAACATGCACGACACTAAAACTGGCCCATACCCACACATTTCTAAATAAACTTTCCAATCTTAGGCCCATCAATAAATAATATAAACATGAAGGTGTAAAAAAGCTAGAATGCATTCAAGTATCTTTGGCAACATATTCTGCCGCTCAACATATCAACGAGAGATGGTAAGGGATGGGTTGCACTGTAATCCCTTTTAAATACCATAGTATCTCGTTGACTGGACTCTTCTGTTCAGTGAGTGAGCTAAACTCACTGTTTGAAATTAACAGTGGGTCCTGAGGTTTTGGACACTTGCTGCGATATAAAAAAGAAATCCTTCAAAATATGAAACTTTGACTTTAGTCTTTTGCTGTAATGCTTAATTTACCCAATGTATATAATCAGCATTTAATTGTAGACATTCAGCACTTAACCCAAGAGCACTCAAGTGGTGCTGACAGGGACATGGAGAATACTAAACCACAACCACTATCCTGGTATAGATAAGGGAGACAACTCTTAGCTATGAGTAATGACAGCATATCTCACAAGTCCACCTGTGCTTACATTGGAAGGCAATGATTACATAATATCAGTGTTATACATAATTTCAGAAGGATGATAAGGAACATATTCCCTATCGAAAGATAAATTGATATAATTTGGAGAATTTTGATTTTGAAATTGGTTGTAATTGGTAGAAGTAGTGACACCCACATTGTTTATAATTGTGTTTGTCGTTTATCACAATTTGTCACAATTATGGAGCTATATGACAGTGGACTGTAAATAATGGTATCTGGACCAACAATCCAGTGATTGACATCATGAGCATCAATCTAGGCAGTTGGGATACAATGACATGCATCAACGAAGTCAGCGAGCCTGACCATCCAATCCTGTTAGTTGCCTCTTATGACAAGCAAAGGTAGCTGAAAACCAATTCTACCTAATCTCCAAGGTTTGTTTATGATTGTGATTAGCTGTTTCAAGTGTAAATATGTACTAAAGATGCTTAACAGAGAAAAGACAGCTGTTTATATGGCATCCTTAATGTGTACTTCTATGGATGAACAGAACCAAGACAAATTTTCAAGAAGTAATACTTGTAAAAGATTGATATTACAGTAAAACATATAATAAGGGCTATGACAAACTGGAATAATAATAATAAAAAAAAAATAACTGTAAATCTCATGTTTTATCACTTCCAGCTGGTTGGGTTCATTCAGTTTGGACACATAATAAATTGATTCGTTGTGGCCTATTGGAAGGTTGCCATGGATATGTGTGTTGGAATTCTTGACTAGAGTCTGCCAATCACCATGGCACTGACGATATCTCCCTTCTTCAAGGCAGTCTTGCTCTCTGACTTTGGAGGCAACATCAATAAGGCATTGGCAGTGCTCATACTGAGCAGACGGCTACTGATCTGGTTTCCTGTACTGGTGGCTTCTGGGATAGCTTCTCCCGGAGTCCATGTTACGACTGCACGATGGAACTCGGGTCTTGGGTCCAGACGCAGATCTTGGGATATCTGTGATGAAGATAAGAGAGAGATTAAGTGAATGGCCAAGGTTTTACAACACCCTCTGCAGTGGTGAAGCCATGTCATGGTAGGGCGAGGACACTGAATCAATTATAAAGTAATTTGTGAAATACTGCTTTTCAAATAATCAGCTGGTTATGTATCTGTAACAGGTCATGGGAGTAACACACCTGTTATTGTAGTGGTATTACCTGATGACAGTATCATCTGTCGGAGTAAGTAAGTCAAGTTCAACAATCCTCAGAGAGTGAGTGAGTATGGATTTGATCTGCTTTTATCAATATTCCAGCAATATCACAGCGGGGAACACATAAATGGGCTTCACACATTGTACCCATGTAAGGAATCGAACCCGAGTCTTCACTGTGACGAGTGGGAACCTGAACATAGCCTCTCAACAGTCCTCAGCAAGAGTTTCATTGTGTAGGTGTAATATGGTGGGAATGATATACAATGTATGTCCACATTCTTCAGACTCATGGAGAAAAGGTATGGCGAAACAAAAGCAAAGATCATAAACATGATAAACAGGACCAGTGGGATTACAACCCAAGACCAAATAATCCTGGAATGTAAGTGATATAACTCTACCCACTAGACCAAAACGGGACAGAAACACCACGCACTTATCTGTGCATTCTATCCCAGGATTTCATCAACAACCCCAGACACCCACCTTTGCCTGCAGCACAGTTCTCTTGGGTTGAGGGCTGCCTGACATCTTGGCCACGACAGGGATGACATACAGGTTACATGTAACTATAGCTGACACAGGGTTGCCAGGCAGACCGAAAAACAGCTTCCTCTTTCCATTGTGCTCTAATGTCGCAAATGTTGTCGGCTTCCTAGAAGCAAAGATAGAGCAGAGTGTTGAGTGATGGAAGATTTTCACAATGTCTCGAAAGGTGTGCCATATTTAGATGTTATTTTTGAATTTTTGTTTTGTATAATAATAGTAGAGAAATGAGGTTTAGAATTTTGTTCATTATTATTTCAGTTATACAGCACCAGGCAGGTTAACAACAAGTACCATTTTTAACATTATTTTGCATGACACAACCAGGATTTGAACCAAGCAAGCATGTATAAAGGCCTACCCTGGCTTCATGAAGACCCTGGCAAAGTGGATGTCAGCACCAAAGTCCTTTTTCAGAACCTGCTTCAGGTAGTCCTGCACACAAAACAGTAAAGACACTAATGTGTAGTTTCAATTTGAAACTTGTAGAGTCCAATGAGTACTGACTCCATTAACATGAAGCTTTGAATTCATTATGAATTTAAGACATATTATTTTTATCTGTGATGTTAAACATTCCCATTCCAGGATACCCCAAAACAGAAGCAGCCCCAGCCCCAGCCCCAGCCCCAGCCCCAGCCCCAGCAGTCAGTCCCACTATCTGTTGTCTACTTCTACATACCCTCTCTCCCATGGACACGCCCCCTGTTGTCACAATCACATCAGCACTGTCAATTGCCCTTCGTAAAGCCTTCATCAGTTCATCTGGACTGGAGATGACAGAAACAAGAAATGAATGTTTAAGTGAAATTGTCAGCAATAATGTAACTTGTCAACTAAAGAGTTCAGTTCATACCACATCAATGGAGAGTCCCATCAATGACTCTTTAAGAGTTTGTAGTGGGCATCAGAAATGAAAGCTACTTTAATTATAGTGGGTCACTTTCACAGCTGTTTTACAACAATACAGTCATAATTATTCCACTTACATCACAACCAGTGTGGTTGATATTATCAACAGCCCATGCCATTAGGTTATGTTGAACACAATACACCAAGCCTTAGTCACCTCCTAGGACAAGCTACCTGTGAAGATCTGGGTTAGAATTAATCTTCAGTAACCCACGCTTGTCGTAAGAGGTGACTAACGGAATCGGGTGGTCAGGCTCGCTGACTTGGTTGACACATGTCATCGCATCCCAATTGCGTAGATCGATGCTCATGCTCTTGATCACTTGATTATCTGGTCGAGACTGAATTATTTACAGACCGCCACCATATAGCTGGAATATTGCTGAGTGTGGCGTAAAACTGATCTCACTCACTCCTGGGACAAGCATTAGTTAATGTAAGCCCAATCTAGCCAATGCCTATTCAGACAGCTCATCCATAACACACACATGAACCTACCTGTCCCTTGCTACCCCGAGATCCACTGTAGGGACCCCATAGTCCTTTAGTTGAGACAGCAGGGTGGTACGGTTGCAGTCACGGATCTTCCCCTCCTCCACAGGGTCCTCCGGCTCCAGCAGCTGTACACGGAACATACAACATACTGCTGGTTGAGTATTTCATGTTTATGTGC